CTCAACTTTTGATATATGTAGTTGTTCGGGTAGAAGGACTGCAACGACTAGACAGTGTAAGGCTCCTTGTTATAACTGATTGCTTCTTACTCGAATACTCAATGGGTATTTTGACATTATAATCGCGTTACCAGGTGTAATGGTATTGTAACATCTATGGTTTAGGTAACAATTATCGAAGATGCGTACTCGTGGGTTCCATCTATTCATCTTGTCATTGAAGATGAACATCGTGATTGCGAACGAATGTTCATTTATAATTTTCCTGATGGACAAGGCGAACATTTTACCGAGAAAGTGTTCACAATCGGTAGTAAAATACACATTATAAATTCATACCTACGAATAGGTGGAAATGATATGAAACCTTATATTCGTATTGATGAATTCTCATCGATTATCATGCAAAATGAATCTGAGAGAGTGGTTAATATGTGTCGTTGTTGTGGCGAACCAAATGCACGGCACATTTGTAGTAGATGTGATAAAGCACGTTACTGTTCCAAAGAATGCCAAACAATGGATTGGAAAATGTATAATCATAAACTTATTTGTAAGAAACAATGAAGACTTCATCTAAGCATATACAGCATTTTTATAAGTTATGTGAATTTTTTAAAATTATTTTTTTGAACAATATAAGACAATAAACAATAATCTATATAAATTTTAGGGAGCCAGAATTTTAGCACGGGGTTAAGGGATAGGTGAGAGTGTTGGCGCATAGTATACGTGCTTGTGCTCATACAGACAACATTTAATCACCAAGTATAGTGTTATTCTTATTTCAGTTTAAATTTCATCGTGCAAAGATAAGACTGAAGAATGCCTGCCTCCAATTCTACATTCAGAGTCGAATACGCTAAATCTGAACGATCAAAATGTACGAGTTGTTGGTCAATGATTGAAAGGGACTTGCTTCGATTCGCAATTATGACTTTTTCATCAAAAATTGCAGCTAAAGTCAGTCAGACATGCATACTATGAAAAAATTTAAAAAAAAGCAATTTCTTGAGTAGGTTCCACATTGGCATCATACTGATTGTTTTTTTCAAAAAAGTCAAACTCATCGACATGAATATTATCAAAGGTTTTGATGATTTACGTTGGAAAGATCAAGATAAAATACGTCATCTTATTCAAGAAAATTCTACACTAGCATCGAGTACGTCTCGACTTTTGAAAGATTTAAAAAACTCAATGAGACGAAAACGATGTGAAGCATCAGTTGATAAAGATATAATACACTTATCGAGAAAAAACTACACGAGTAGAAGAGCTTGACGTTATGGACCATTCGATGAATGGTATCATGTGGACTGTTTTCATCAGATAAAAAAAGATCTTGGATTCTTTGGCACAGCTAAATCGTTCGTATTCCCTGATTGAATTCATGTATAAAATAATTTTCTATTGAAGGTTTTCTGAATTTTCTGATTTGAATGATGAAGATCAGACGACGCTCAAAGAGAAATTTGGTGCAACGGTTCAATCAAAACGAAAATGTAAAGGTATAGAACTGAGCAGTGAATTAATAAAAGCAAAACAAGCAAAAACTGATGATGAGATAGCAGAAAATTTCAATGAACAAGAACAGACGCGTCTGAGAAAGGTTCTTTCATTTTTGATTTATATTTATAAATTTTCATGATGTTTATCTTAGAAACAAAGTAAACTTCTATGGGTTTTGAAAGATAATTTACGAATGGAGATTCTGGGTGGTGTTTTAAAAGAATAGAATCGAATGTAATATGACTGATTCATTTGAATCATCTAAATCAATCATTTTAGCTAATCGAAGCTGTCGCTGATTATATGGCATTTGGTGCATTGGAATCATGTCCTGAATGTGGTGGTTTTCTTGTATTCAAGTAAAACAAAATATTTCTTTTTTTTCCAATAAATTATTTCAACTTTAATGTTTAGTTACACAAATTATCGTTGTACTGGAAATATTACGGAATGGACAACATATTCGTATACAACAAATTTACCAAAACGAAAAGCATTTGAAATTCCAGATAGGATCAAAGAAGACTACGATATGTTGTAAGTGCTTCGATTTTTCATTGAGTCAGAAAATACAGAGATTTATTCTTTAGTCAACAATACAAATATGAGCAACGAGATTGCATCATACCTCAAGTAACCAAAAAACCTAAATTGATCAACAAAATAGATGAGATTAAAGAGTAAAACTCCTGAAGCTTTCCCTATTACGAACTTTCATCATGTAAGAATTTAATTCTAGACCTGATTATGATCCGAAATTGCCTCTTAATGGCTACTCAGTCGCATTAATCGGTCGTTTATTGAAACGAAAGAGCATCTTAAAAAAACATATCGAACAATTAGGTGGAGCTATGACTACGAATATTGATAAAACAGTCGGTGTGGTCGTTAGTACTCAAGATGAAATCAGTAAAGGAAATCCCAAATCCATTGTGATGAAAAAAGTAAAGCTATCAGCATAGGGTACTTTACCACATATTGCAGCTGTACTTGGTGTGATCAATGTAACTCATGGTGCTAATTCCTGTTACAAAAAAATAGATCAATATGATGATTAATCAAAAGCAATTGATGTTTTCCATAAAATATTTTTTGATAAAACTGGAAATCAATGGACTGATCGAGAGAAATTTAAAAAATTTCCAAGTAAACATTATCTATTAGAAACCGATTATGGACAACATGGTGATAATGAACAAATGCAAAAATTTCTCATCTTTCACAATCTGTACAAGACCTAATCTGTTTAATTTTTAATATTGAAAAAATGAAAGAAACATTATTATCATTCAATATTGATCTACGGAAAATGTCTCTTCGTAAACTTTCACGTAATCAATTAAAAATAGCTTATGGAGTTCTTACTGAATTACAAACATTAATTACTAGTGATTCAATAAATAAAACATCGATTATCGATGCTAGTAATCGATTTTATACACGCATTTCACATGATTTTGGTCGAAAAAAACCTCAGATACTCAATAATGTCGATTTCATTCAATCGAAAACACAAATGATTGATAATTTACTTGATATTAAAATTGTCTATTCAATGTTAAAAAGATCATCCGAAGGAAACAATGAGCATCCAATCGATGTTCATTATAAGAAATTGAAATGTGTTTATTGAACCTATTTAAAAGAATTCAGAAGAATTCAAACATATTGAACAATATATGATTAATACACATGCAGTAACATATAATAGCTATACATTGAAATAAAAAGAATTATTTAGAATAGCACGCGAGGGTGAAGATAAACACTTTGAAAAATCAAAACAAGTAAAAAAGCGTCAGTTGTTATGGTATGGCTCGAGAACAACAAACTTTGCTTGAATTCTTAGTCAAGGTTTACGAATTGCTCTACCCGAAGCACCCATGGTCAGTAAAATTCTAATCAATACTTAGATAACTGTTTATTTCTTAAATTATTCATTTTAGACAGGTTACATGTTTGGCAAAGGTGTCTATTTTGCAGATATGGTCTCAAAGAGTGGTAAGTTCTATTTTGTTATTTATGTAGCGAATTATTGTCACATTAAAGGCGACGCACCCGAAGGATTAATGCTTTTATGTGAAGTTGCTCTCGGTAGAATGTACGAATGTTACAAAAGTACAAGTCTATCAGTAGATACATTACCCAAAGGTGCACAGTCGACCAAAGATTGTGGTCAAACAACTTCTGATCCAAAAAGTAAACGAAACAAGTGTTATGTGTCAAAATATATGTGGGATTTCGTTATTTTAGATCATTATTATACCGATGATGGAGTTCTCATTCCACTGGATCAAGGTGTAAACGCAAACATTCTACATAACTCACTCTTATACAATGAATATATCTTCTATAATACCGATCAAATCAAAATAAGATACCTGTTATGCGTGTATTTCGATTATAAAAACTAAACTATCGTTATTTTTATGTGTTCAAATTTTTTTCAATAAAAAACTAATCACTATATGAACTATATACTCGTAGCGCTAGCTCTTCTTTCTATAAAGTATGACAATGAACTCTTTCGTGGAAAAGGAAATAAAATATACAATGATTCTACTCCAAAATATCCAAAGTACTTGGCTCTTCTGTTTCACTTGCTAGGACCTATATATATACGTCCTTGGTCCCCCAATGGGTTAAAGAATCAAATATCATATATTGTGCCTATAGACAATTCATTAATCTAACTAATGATTACTAATAAACAAGAAAATAGCGGTTGCATCAACAGATAATGAGATAGAACTAAATTATAAACCTATATATCTATATACATTGAAGTTCGAACGATAAAAAAGCTGCATGTGTTATGTTTTTGTTCTCAATGTATCAAACACAAAAACGATCAAAAAGATGGTGTTGCCACTTGATCAAATGAAGATTAATTAATTTTTAATCGATTTTAATGGCGTTGGACGCAAAACATGTTTTTTTCACATTTTAAATTAGAAGCTCAACCTTCTATTCCTTTTTTCGGACTTCTCTTTTCAACAAATGGTAAGTATAGCAATACATGAGACTTTGAAATGCATTACGTGCTTCAAAATACGATACCAATTGATACTAACTCACGTAAGAAAAATATTGATAAATTAGATTCGAATCGATTATTTTGTCAGTGAAAACCGATCCAAATGGTTGTATTTTTAAGCCAATTCAAATCTGGTTTTTTAAGCTTTAAAGATATATCTCCGTTGATTTTAATCGATTATAAGAGGGTGGGGTGTGGGTGTGTGGGTGTTGATGAAAAGGACACCCACACCCACACCCTAATCGTACTGGTGTTGGTTACACTATATAGCAATGTCTAAAAAAACTCGCTTACATCACAGTGTCGTAAAAGTCATCACAGTGGCGTCAACGCTTGCCGATTCAGCGTTACTTCACCTGTGCATTGACTTTGTGTTGTTTTTCTTGTAAGTTGGAAAAAAAACCTACTGATGACAGTCAATAAAGTGCCTCATTCTCCATTTTCTTATCAAATATTTATTTTGCAAGTGAAGGCCGCTATTGAAGTATGCTGCGTGCAACAACATCGACTTTCCGCGAAAAAAGAACAGAGGCTTATGCGTCAATCAACTTTTTTCTTTCTTTGTGGGTAACTCCTGTGGCATAGAAGGTATACTGTATCATTGCCAAGGAATAAAACAAGGATTCATGGTGTTTTGTCGAGCCTTTTTGAATACATAAAATATTCATTGTAGACTTGATCGATTGGTGATTTAGCAACATAGACATGAAACTTTTGCGAAGTTCATATCTCAGAACTATGCGAATCTTTGTGAAGAACGCTTAAGGCTAGCAGACTCACGAGAGAAGATTCTCAAATGATCCGCACCACTTTTGTGGATATTTTCCCATAGATAGAGCTTGATGAGACTAGAAAAAGCCTAAAAGGATAATGGTCTATAGGCCTTTCTTCTCGAGTTATGATCATTTTACTAGGTTTATCACCCATGAGGGTGTGGGTGTCGATGTAATTCTTCTCTTAACCCACACCCACACTATAATTGTTACTGTATCTATCAATTAAATTCTCATTAATTTGACAATTATTTCATTGCTTTCGTGTCATTCAATTGATTAATCTAATAAAACAAAGCCAATGAATAGAATGTTTCACTATAAAAGAGTGACTGTGCGAGAACAAACAACATATTTAAATATTGACAGATCATATCGTAAAAAAAGTGTTGACAGTTTAAAACAATAATCATTATTGAAATTTGAACGATTTATTCTCGTTATTGTTGAGACTAGTGTACGACAAAAAATATTTGTATAATTAAAAAGAAAACTGTTCATCTTCGATTAAATGTCATTGAAAACAAAATATAAATGTTGAAATTTAGGCTGAATTAATTTATAAATAGTTTTGTATTCGTTGAAAAAAAATGATAAAAGAAAAAATAATAATTTGATGATAATTTTTCAAAAGTTAGCTCCAAACATTGCTACGGTGTCTCTCACGACCTGTATGATAATGAACATTCAGGCGATGATTTTTTTTTCTACGAATTTTAATTTTACTATCAGCATGATGCTCATAAAGCTTTTGGGT